ACAATACACAGTCGTAGCCACTGCGGACAACAGTCATCAGTATACAATACACAGTCGTAGCCACTGCGGACAACAGTCATCAGTATACAATACACAGTCGTAGCCACTGCGGACAACAGTCATCAGTATACAATACACAGTGGTAGCCACTGCGGACAACAGTCATCAGTATACAATACACAGTCGTAGCCACTGCGGACAACAGTCATCAGTATACAATACACAGTCGTAGCCACTGCGGACAACAGTCATCAGTATACAATACACAGTCGTAGCCACTGCGGACAACAGTCATCAGTATACAATACACAGTCGTAGCCACTGTGGACAACAGTCATCAGTATACAATACACAGTCGTAGCCACTGCGGACAACAGTCATCAGTATACAATACACAGTCGTAGCCACTGCGGACAACAGTCATCAGTATACAATACACAGTCGTAGCCACTGCGGACAACAGTCATCAGTATACAATACACAGTCGTAGCCACTGCGAACAACAGTCATCAGTATACAATACACAGTCGTAGCCACTGCGGACAACAGTCATCAGTATACAATACACAGTCGTAGCCACTGCGGACAACAGTCATCAGTATACAATACACAGTCGTAGCCACTGCGGACAACAGTCATCAGTATACAATACACAGTCGTAGCCACTGTGGACAACAGTCATCAGTATACAATACACAGTCGTAGCCACTGCGGACAACAGTCATCAGTATACAATACACAGTCGTAGCCACTGCGGACAACAGTCATCAGTATACAATACACAGTCGTAGCCACTGACCACATCATGTCAGCAGAAACACTATATGAAAACATTTAAAGTCACACACACACACACACACACACACACACACACACACACACACACACACACACACACACAAACACACACACGCACACACACACGCGCACACACACACACACACACACACACACACCATTGACCATTTGACGCCCATCGCAGGAAGCGATGATAGGGATGCTAGAGCAGAAGCCATAGCAACTTGTCCTGGGATTGCACCATTCAACAGCTTGCACACACACACTCACACACACACACACACACACACACACCACACACACACACACACACACGCAAACACACACACCTGGTCCTGGTCCTGGTAAACACTGCCATTACGATCACGTGTTCCCTTACGGGGCCGACAATAGAATGACGAGCGGGACCATGTTGGAGAGAGCCATCTCCAGCAGCTATGGATCTGGCTTATCATCGGAAACGATTCCTCTCACGGCTGCCGCTAGAACTGGTCCATCACTCTCCACAACAGAGCGAACATTTCATGAGCCAACGCTCAGAGTCGTTCCAAGTCGTCGTCTTCGTGCGGTAGTTTGCTCCACTCGCGGGCTTGCAAAGCCTCGCGAAAGACTCACACACACACACACACCCACACACGCAAACACACCCACACTGACACAAACTTCCCCACATACATACCCACGCACCCCCCCCTAACTCACGCACCCCCACACCCCCACTCTCGCACACCCACGCACCCCCCCCCCCCCATACACACACACACACGCACCCCCACGCACTCCCCCCCCCCCCCGCCGCCCCATACACACACACACTCACCCACCCCCACACAGCCCCCCCCTCCATCCATACACCCACGCACCCCCCCCCACACACACACGCACCCCGCCCCATACACACACACATGCATGCACACATGCTTGCACTTGCTCACTGCCATAACTGGTCACGTGGGTCTCCCTTTGGGAGAGGGGAGAGAGAGACTCAAAAGAAATCTTGGAAAGATCACTCAATTGGCTATTGAACCGCGCAACGGCCCACACCTCCTGAAATCCCTAAAACTCTGGGTGGACTTGGAAATGATCCCACTTATGGGCTCACCACACCTCAGTAAGTGAGTAAGGACGAGGTGAAGAAAAGGGGATTGACGGCATCAGGGTATACGTCCCGGGATCCAACTGCAGTTACCCCTGCCTCCGGTGAAGGTAATACTTGCTACTAGTGTGGGTGGCTAAATCAGAGTGAATCTGATAATAATTATTATAAGCTACACTAGCACCATTGATTACACAAGAGTTGCTCTAGCCAGAAGTAGTCCATGGTTAACAGGTATGTATACTTCAAATAGAAAGTATATGAACCCTGAAACCAACACAGGTGGTAGGTACAACAATACACTTTCAAGCAGCCAAGCCCATTGGCAACAGACCCACCACTTTCTGGCACAAGTGTGCCCACCAACCGAACTAGCTGCCACAAATACATACACACACACAGATTAGTTGTACTTTCTAGCCATGTATAGAAACACGGACAAAAAGAAAATGTTCTCTTACCGGTAGATTCTATTCCAGGACTGCATACATGTACATCATTATCCTAATCACCCATTCCTACTCTGCTCTGTTTGCGTATAGCATCATGTGGATGAATGTCGGGTGATATGCACATAGCTAACTGCTACATCACACTCATAACGTATACACTGTAGTGCAGCTTACGCATGGTTGATCACACAGTGAGCAATGAGTCCTGGAGGCACGAAACCTACGTCACAATACCAGCCAAGTCGTGGATGAGTGTTCGCCTATGCACCAGACACTACCTGATGTACAGGTATCAGTCAGCTATGTGAGTATCATCAGCCATGCATCTACTAGGCCACGTGCGTAAAGTATAGATGATGGTGGTGAGAGAAGCATGGCTATTTGCCAGTCTGATCTGAAGCCAAGATTAGAATAGAATTACTTAGAAGAAGGAAAGGACCAACGGTTTACACCGCAGTATGCGTTGATGTCCACTAACGTATTGCCAAGATGATGTAGGGTCGGAACGTGTGACATTTGCCAAACTGATGATACTGATATTCAACGACCTGACGTTTGCCTCGATCACGTCTAGGATACACTGACCAACACACTTCCAGCAAGTCATAAAATATTACAAGTGATTCCATTCATTCAATGAAAAAAAAAATGAAAAACTGAATTAGTTTTCGTCGCACACATGATGTCATTGCCGTGACAACTTTGACAGGATCTAGATCATTGATGTGTCAATGACTAAACCAGTGATTCACAGACTCCATTCCAGGGAATCGGTAGTATTCGGTACCACTACAGTCGTCCCTCTTTAATTAATCCAGGGACTAACATGTAAGTTTCACGATGACAGCGTGAACAAGGTGGAGGACCCACAGTATAGGAAAACAGTGTTCCTGACTGAAACCATAAACTGGTTGGCAGGCCCGGTCTTGCGACAATTTGAACCACGAGATCAGGGAATATTCCTGTAATGCTCCAATAGAGTAATGAGTGCAGTGCAGTGAGCCTGGAGTAGCCTTTTCCCATACAGTGGGTAGTCCACCTTGTTCACACTGTCATCGTGAAACTTACATACTACAATCAGGTACGTGTAGTTACGAAGTTTGTGTTCAAACCGCACTACCCAGATCTGTTCATTTCCAACAGCAATGGCTAAACAGCAATGTCGTGAAATTATGACTCCATACCAGTAAAGAACGTTTTCTCCGGCCATTTTCAGTCTTTAATTTGGCAAACATTGAAATCTGCCCAAACTCTGTAGAGTGAGTTTAGATATTGGTAAACGCTGTCCAGCTGTACTTATACTACATGTACATGTATGTGCTACACTTGATACTGTGAGTAGAGGTACAGACTCACTGAAATGTTTGCTACTTTGTCGGCTCATCATCTCAACACAGATCTTAGTGAGTACAAAACTACTTACACGTACTAACGATGAAGGAATTTAGAAAACATTATCCAACAGGGAAATTTGGCCATGTTGCTGAGCGTAAGTTAGTTGACTATGCTTGAGCCAGTCTCCGTCACGTGTCATCATGCACGCGTTTCTGTGTTCTACGTAGCTTTGTAAATGATACTAGCAATGATGATGTCCGTAAATGTCACGTGACCACTCTTAGTCAATGTAGTGGTTGATTGTGTGACGATGCAGTTAGACAGTGTTGATGTGTAGCATAGTTTACATACAGTGAAGTCTGTATTCTACATTGCTGTTTATCTCATAGTGGATATGTGGGAGAATCTCTGACAAAATATCTTTTTCTACACGTCATGACTTGTAAGAAGGAAATGATTTTCTAACGTGATCCGCTGCAAATGTGGTAGCTGTGTCTGTGCCTGGAGGCCCAATATGTAGCTGGAACTGCCAGATATGATACCGCACAGAGCTGCTGAAATTGGGTGTTGGCAAATCAGTGTCCCTGTAACCGGCCTGGGGCCATACCACCCTTCAGGAGCTGACTCTGCACAATGGAGGGTCTCACGGAGTTTGTGCACCACCGGTCTGTAGCAGCCACAGGGAACATCATAGATGTCCACTCATGCAATGTACACACGGCAGCTAGCGGTAAAGTATCCGCCAGGGTCACCATCGATGCAGCTTGCCTGGCCACTGTGACCTCTGCCAACTTCTGGCCTCGGCCCCTCTACTGCAGGACATGGAAATTCAATCCACCCAAGAAGAGCAGCGGCAACGACAAGGCCCACAGCAGCAGTGATGGTGGCAGTGGCGACGGCAACGACAATGCCCACAGCAGCAGTGACGGTGGCAGTGGCGACGACAGCAGCGGAAACGACTGTGGCAGTGGCGGCAGCAGCAGCAGTGACGGTGGCAGTGGCGACGGCAACGACAATGCCCACAGCAGCAGGGACGATGGTAGTGGCGACGACAGCAGCGGAAACGACCGTGGCAGGAGCGGCAGCAGCAGCTGCCGCAATAGCAGCAGCGACAGTTCTCCCAAACCCGGCGCCGAGTCAACTCGGACCCCTGGGCAGAAGTCACGACCCCACCAGCGTGGTTCTCCCGCTGAAGACCAAGCTGCAAAGCGCGTGGCTCCAGTCAGCAAACAGTGATGTCTGCTGCCAGCCATATACCCCTGCTAAACCCCAACAGGCCCGTAGCAGCCCCATTTTGGTTGGTCCGGCGAGATCCGACCTCACTGCATTTGTAGCAGGCATAACGAGTAGTAGCTGGACAACACAGACAACTTCACTGTAGAAGTTCCGAGCATCTGCCGACAAACTGCGTAAGTAATGGATGCAGTCCTTCAGGCTTGTACCTTCCGATGAGATGCTTGCAAAGTGACTTGCCAGGGCCTTGAGCTGAACTGTAAGAGCACCTGCATCCAGCTCGTGGTAGAGACCTGTCACTTGCTGCATTGCTGCTGTGTGGTCGTCATCACGTAGAGCTTGAAGCAGTAGCTCTTCGAGGTTGCGGTACATTGCATACCCCGGCTGATCAAACCTCTCCTGAATACTGGACACAGCAAGGTCCAGAGCCTCAAAGTACGCCACACGATATAGATCTTCAGCACGCTCAGGATGTGTACCTGCAGCTTGGCCATCCTCAAACCTTCGGGGCACCTTCCGTCGACGGGGAAGTACAGGCTCATCAACATCCAGCTTTCCCTGCAGTGCAGTAACGAGAGCATAGAAGCTGGACCACGATTGATCAGACCTCATGTCTTGCAAGGTCTTCACAGTTAAAGACGCCACATGCTGAGCTTCTGCTGCTGACATTGATGTGGCTTGAAGTGCCTTGCTGAGGTTGTCGGTGATCTTCAAGATCGTCTCTGATAACTTCAATCCGAAGAGGAACTTGAAGTCGCCCATCACCGTGTCCACTCCAATGATGCGAGCCTTCACATCAGGGTCCAGGCGAGCTGCGGACTCCAGGCACTCATTCCATAGCTGGAACAATGTGGTGTAGTTCGTTATAATGCTTTCTAGAGCATCACCTCGCACTGTCCATCTGGTGTGGCTGAACGTACGGATGCCAGTTGGACTTGGTATGTCGTCGTTCTGGCTGGAGCGGATTTTCTCGAATGCTGCATTTCTCTTCGGTGAGAACTTTATCAGCCGAGTGATTTCAAAAGCTGTGTCAAGAGAATCCTTGCACAGCTTTGATTTCTTGATGGTGTCAGACACAGCAAGGTTCAAAGCGTGGCCATAACAATGTGTGTATAGCGCGCGACTCTCTTCTGCGATGACTTTGCTTGCTACCCCATTGCGGGCACCGCTCATATTTGAAGCTCCGTCGAAGCATTGTCCACGGCACTTCTTCCAACTTAAATTCATGCGAAGCAGCACGTCCTTGATAGCAGAGAAAAGTGTGTTGGCATCAATGGTGTCCACCTGGTACAGACCAATGAAGTCTTCATGCTCCATGAGATCATGGTCAACCCAGCGCAGGCAGATCGTGAACTGTTCCTTGTTGGAAAGGTCGGTACATTCGTCAGCCATGATGCTATAGCAAGGACAGTCTGCTATCGACTTGCTAAGCTGACGCAAGATACTGAGTGCCATGAGCTGTAGACACTCGTCCTGGACTTCTGGCGACGTGTATTTATAGGCACGTCGCTCCAACCAAGCACTTACATCCACAACTGTACATTCATTCGTTCGGAGGTGAATCAACTGGATAAAATTGCTGTTGGTCTCATCACCATCTCCTCGGAGCGCCAAGCCTTGACGAGCAAGAAACCTTACATTGCTCAACATGAGCATGAACATTTTACGGTTCTTCTCTTTCTCTGCTGCATGTTGGGCACTCTGTAGCTCACCAACGTCACTTGTACAGCTCGGCAAAACAATCAACGCCTCAATAGCTTCGCGGTGGAAGTCGCTAGCTGCATGTTTCCGGAAGGCCGCCGTCCCTTCCTTCCAGTACGTAAATCCTCTGGAGAGAAAAGCTGGCTCTCTCTTCGTACTTGCAAGGAATTTCTTCTGCTGTTCACATTGCATACAAATGAAGCAAAAAGCTGCATCCTTGCCAACGTCATAATGAAGCCAGTTGAACTGCTCGCACCAGTCCGCTCGAAAGCTCCTCTCATCTCCTTTAGTTCCAAACTTTCTTTTTGGAAAGGAGAACGATTTTCCAGGACGAAACTGCTGAAGCTGGGCCAGAGGTAGTTGCGCCATTGTGATTTCCTGCCAAGGATAAATCGCTATGTGGCCAGATACACACGAGTCACAGGAAAACCACGCGTCTTGATTGTCGTAACTTAAAGTTTCATGCCATATAGCAATCTTCAGACAACTGATTACGGTGATGCACAGCTAGTATGGTATTTATACAGCAGCATAGGCAGGAATCTGTGAAGGTTTGAGGTCTGGTGGGTGCAAAAAGTCCTGGATGGAAAATGTGCCAAACTCACATGGTCCGTGAGTGAGAAAAGAAATGTGATATGGCAGGAAGGCAAGCAAGGCTGTGTGAAAGGATGATAATGATAATGTGGCTTGCCTGTAATCACAATCATGCAGGTGCAAGATGCCACACACTTTGGTAAGCGCTTAAGATACATGTACAACCGCCAACTCTAGCAACACTTCTTTTCATCAAAACCTGTCTACTACACTACATTCGCTTTCACTTTGCACTGTGGTAACGTGCTGGAGGCAGAGGGCTCAGACACAAACAGGACAACGATATGATGAACTGTCTGACTCTCCTGTACACATGTGTAGTTAGGGTACATGTTATACTTCAGTAATGTGGTCATGGAATGACATGATTACAAGTGTACACATTTTAGATGTAGTACAGGGGGGGGGGGGGGTATGACTTATGTACTCTAGCTCTTGCCTTTGTACTTTTTTAGTCTACTTTGTACCAGGGAGTAGTACAATACAGGTATTGTACTACTCCCTGCTTTGTACATCATGGTAGCTGCGCGCATGCATGTGTGCCAGCTTTTTTTTTTTTTTTTTTTTTTTTTTTTTTTTTTTTTGGCCGAACATTGGTCCGGCAGCTGCCGGACCTGCCGGACCGCCTGCTACGGCCCTGCCCAATGCTACTCCCTTCCAGCCTCGAAGGTCCCGGGGCTCCCAAAGAACAACCAACTGCAACAACCTCAAACTGTTCGTCACGAGCCTCAACATCGGGTTTTTGAATATCTGCAGCCTGCGCTACAAGCTGCATGCACTGGACAGCCTTGCCCACCAGCACAACTGGGACGTCGTTGGCGTTGCTGAGACCTGGTTGGATAGTACAATCTCGGATGGCGAAATTTGTATTCCCGGCTACAGTGTTGTTCGCTGTGACCGGCCCGATCGCCAGGGTGGGGGCACTTGCCTCTATTACAAGACATCACTCCCAGTTACCTATCGTTCTGATCTGCACAATAGCCACCTGGAGGCTACCTGGATAGCTATTGGCGGAGGGCAACACCAGCACCTTGTTGGCTGCCTCTATCGCCCACCAAATGCAACTGCTGATTTCTGGGGCCACCTGGACACAGTCCTCCACAATGCTGCCACGATCACGCCATCAATGACACTGGTGGGTGACTTTAATATCAATCTGGCTCAATGCATGACCAGTCGTCCTCACCAGCGCTTCTGGGACCTTATCGGATCGTATGGGCTCCGCAACTACGTCCAGTCTGCCACACGAGTCACACCCCGATGTCCGGATGGAACGCTGCTTGATTTAGTGCTCTCCACCGTGGGTACTATAAGTCATTGTGAAGTTGTACCCTGCACGATCAGCGATCACTTCCTTGTGCATGCAAGTCTGTCTCTACCCTCCTCGCAACACCCACTGCAGCGGAAATCAGTGCGCCTCACCCGCAAGATCCGTGCCATTAACCTTGCAACATTTCGTGAAGATATTGCCTCGTGCAGCCTCCACTCCTTTCCCCCTGCTGCAACTGTAGACGAGATGTGGAATGGCTGGCATGCCAAGTTTATGTCAGTTCTCGAAAGTCACGCTCCCCTGCGTGAAGCCAGAATCTCCACCAGGAGGACTCCCCCGCCATGGTCCGACCGTGATCTATTCCAACTGAACATGCGCAAGAATAGACTTCACCGAAAGTGGCTACGAGATAAGACTAACGTGCATCTACATGAGGAGTACAAGCGAGCCCGTGCAGAAGCCTCAAATGCTTACCGGCGAAAACGCAATCAGCATTTCCAACAGCAGTGTCGTGATCACTCCTCCAACCTGCGGATGATGTGGTCCGTGATCAACTCTGTCACTAGCCGTTCTCGTCAACATCATCAGCCAACGTGCGACATCACAGAAGTCTCGGATGACTTCCACAGCATTGTACATGATCCGTCCCGTCCGGCGCAGCTCCAGATTCCCATTGGTCCACAGCCGCAAGGCTCAATGCTGACCTTCCAGTCAACCACCCCAGATGAGGTCAAGCACCTCCTGGAACGGATAAATCCCTGTAAAGCCACAGGCAGTGATGGGATTCCTGGGTGTCTGCTACGTGCTTGCGCTGACCTGTTGGCTCCATCGCTTTCAGTGCTCTTCAGCTCATCGCTGAGACATGGTGAAGTCCCTCTGGCTTTCAAACATGCTGTAATAAGCCCTCTCTTCAAAGCTGGCGATCCATCGGTAGCTGCAAATTATCGTCCTGTGTCGCTCCTGCCGATCGTATCCAAACTACTCGAGAAGATAGTCCAGAAGCAACTTGTTGCACATCTGAAGCGATCATGTGCCATACCACCGACTCAGTTTGCCTTCCGCCGTGAGCACTCCACAGAGGACGCCCTAGTTGTAGCAACAGATGCCATCTTAAAGGCTCGGGACGACAAGTTGACCACAGGCGTCTGCCTAATCGACATGTCAAAAGCCTTTGACAAGGTCAATCACAGCCAACTGGTCCGGGACCTATTCGATCTCGGCCTGGACAATGCCTCCCTTCGCTGGTTCTGCAGCTACTTAAGCGATCGAACCCAGCAAGTGCGCATTGGCCCACCTACAGTGTTGCTGCTAAGTGCTCATCTGGTGTACCTCAGGGCTCGGTCCTAGGACCGATCCTGTTTAGCATGTACACCCGTGGTCTCCCTGCCATAGCCCATCCTGCTCCATCTCTGCAATTTGCCGATGACATTGCCGTGCACTGCCACAGAAAATCAGTGCTAGCCACATCAGCCTGCCTGTCAGGGGCCGTCACCAACGTCGCTGACTGGCTCAAGCATCGACATCTGCTTCTAAATGACAAGAAGAGCCAGGTCCTGTCAATTGTACCACAACGCAATGCGGGTCAGCATGTCGCTGTCCGCTGCAACCAGACAGAGCTTCCCCTGAGCCCAACAGCAAGGTACCTCGGCGTGACCCTTGACGCCGCTGTGAAGTGGGACCCCCATGTTGACGCGATGGCGAAGAAAGTTGTGCAGAAGATTGGAGCATTGTGGCGGTCCCGCAGATGTCTGAGCCTCAGTAGTCGCATCCAGTATGTGAGGTCAGTCATCATGCCTGACCTCCTATATGGGTCTAACGCCTTCTCTTCCTCCCTCAAGGTTTCGCAGCTTGATCGCCTTCAGGTCCTGCAGAACCGAGCGGCGAGAGCGGTATACGGTTTGCCGCCTCACACCTTGGCTCAGCCTCTGCTCGAACGGATGTCCCTGTACAGAGTTCGCGAGTGCTACGCCCAGAAGCGGCTCGTCCTGGTGTGGCGCTGTGTCAATGGGAAAGCCAGCAGTGTCCTCCAGGACCTATTCTCACCATCAGCTGGCAGCACCACCCGGCACCAGGTTTCCAGGGGCCTCACTGTCCCCTCGGCACAGTCAGAAGCCGGCAGATCTCGCCTGGCCTTTCAGGCAGCTTTGGCCTGGAACGCTCTCCCAGGGAGTGTAAGGGAGATCAAGGCTGCCCAGCAATTTAAGCTTGCCTCCATCCCCTACACCTTGCAATGAATGCTCTGTCTGACTTTTCCCGTCCACACGCCACGTCATTTACTCTTCTCTGCGTGCTTGTGCGCTTATGAACTCTTTGTGTTCCCTCTGTTGACGCTTCAAAATCGCTCTATTGACACTGCAAAATCGCTCTATTGACACTGCAAAATCGCTCTGTTGACGCTGCAAAATTGCTTATCATCTCCCTCCCCCCCTCTCTCTCTCTCTCTTTCTCTCTCTCTTTCTCTCTCTCTCTCTCTCTCTCTCTCTCTCTCTCTCTCTCTCTCTCTCCCCGTAGCTCTCTCCCTTTTGAAATTCGCTTCCATAGAATTGGGCACCATTTCCCGTTTGGCCTTGCGAAGCAAAATAAAAATCAACAACAACAACAACAACTCTGGATCTCAAGACTGTGTATTCTATTGGTAAAAGTCTCCATTATGAACTCAACGCCACTGGGTTGTTATGTGTAGTGTTATGTGTAATGACGTCACGACGATTGAAGGGAAAACTCTGTACAAGTACAAAGTACAGTCTGTAGTCTTAAGTACAACTTCTAACGTTATGCTGTATTTGTTTACTAGGACAAACCTTTTTACGTTATGCTGTATTTGTTTACTAGGACAAACCTTTTTACATTATGCTGTATTTGTTTACTAGGACAAACCTTTTTACGTTATGCTGTATTTGTTTACTAGGACAAACCTTTTTACGTTATGCTGTATTTGTTTACTAGGACAAACCTTTTTACGTTATGCTGTATTTGTTTACTAGGACAAACCTTTTTACGTTATGCTGTATTTGTTTACTAGGACAAACCTTTTTACGTTATGCTGTATTTGTTTACTAGGACAAACCTTTTTACGTTCTCAAAGGACAAGCAACAGCTTTCGGCTTGTTTTTATCAATAAAGTAATTACACATCCACCAAACGCGTGCTCCACCAAAAGCCTTGTATTCGTGTTGCTGGTGTGTGAGGTTGGCCAGAGAGCGTGTTTGGTGGTGGTGGAATTACTTTAGCCCTTTTTACTGGCAAAAAAACATACTACAGGTTGATTTTCACGCACATTCACATGCCAGAGGAAAAGACAGCAACAACAACAGCAACAGCCCTCCAAGTCCAAGGTTCCAACACACCATTGCATGCTTACACATACAGTAGACCTACTCACGTACGAACACCCGAATGTACAGTCTGTTGCTGAGTACTACACCAAACCACACACAAGACGTACCACACCCAAGACCACACTCAAGCAACTCACTACGAGTACAGTGTCTGCATTGTCATTGTCAAGTTGCTCAGAGCCGCCATGTCATTATGGTGACATGTTTTTAGCAACAACCAGTTATAAAATAGAATTTTACGACAATCAGATTGACAACACCAACACCACCCTGGTCTGTATGGGACTGTGCCCTAAGACATGATGTCATCAGCTCTTTGTCCATATTTGATGAGAAGAGCGTAGCATTGAATCGTGATTGGTTCCAGGTAGTGTTGTTATGTGGTAATGGGGTAGGTCCCCCATTATGTGTGTAGTCTACATGTGTGAATGTGATTCTTGTCACCAATGACTAGGTAAACAACACATTTTTATGGTCCGGGCGGTGCAGAGCGCGACGACATCGTGCAGACGTGTAGCATATCACGTGACAACACAATGACACACGCACACACGCAATGCTGCGAACAAAAGATGCCTGCGTTCGCGCTAAGGCACACAGCCACAAAGGCTAAGTAGTATCAGTAATGTACATGTATGAGAAGATGGCCGTCCGTGGTCTGCCAGACAGTGAGCATGTCCTGCCATTTACCACATGCATGTGATGCACGATTCGTTCAAACATCAGATCACATCGCTATTTGGTCAGCAACGCTCAGTCATCCATTTCTCAAGGCACAGTCCAGTTGTCCGTTTTCGTCTCCCTGCCTTTCTCTTTTGTTTCAAACGTCTTCTAGTGTTGTTGAACAGTCCCTCTGACCTACCTTTGTTAGTCATGCATTATCTTTTCCAGTCATTGTTACTCTTTCTCTCAACTACTAATCAGTCTGTAGTGGCTACAACGCTCTCTCAGAGAGTAACAAGTTCAGCACAACGCTCTCTCAATGAATAACAAGTTCTGCACAACGCTCTCTCAGTGAATAACAAGTTCAGCATAACGCTCTCTCAGTGAATAACAAGTTCAGCATAACGCTCTCCTTCTCTCAACGACCTACTTATTCCAGTCAGCCCACTCAGCCAACGTTTGAAGAAGATCTTTAAAGGAACGGACAACTCACTCAGTAAGTAAAAATACAATCATGTGCTATAGGTCTATTTGAAATCCCCCTACAGCAATAGTATCACTGATATTGCACATTGTGACTATGCCTACTCCAGAGCTAGGTCATCAGGCTGAGTGACACGGTTGAGAGCTAGCGTGTGTGCACATGCTTGGTAGAAATGCGCCAGGTACTGCACTAACTGACCTGGTATTTCCTCACGTTAGCGACTGAATCATTCGATTCACTCCCTGACCTTGTTCTCGCACTGAGTGCTACAGCTTATCGGTCTAGTTAGCAACTGTGGATCGTTCAGTAGCGGTTCATGACCTGTAGATCAAAG